GTATTTGGAAAGAAATTTCATGATGGTTGGCTGAAAATTCATTCCCCTTCACCCGTGGATCCTTCAGGCAAAATTGGGAGAGAATCCTGTCATTCCTACAGAAGGACAATATGCCACAGGGAGATGGGGGAGGGGGGTCAAACTGACCATTGGACTGTGTATAAACAATCATGTCTATGCTGCCCTCTGTATATACAGAATCATGTCTACTCTGCCCTCTGTGTATACAGAATCATGTCTACTCTGCCCTCTGTGTATACAGAATCATTTCTACCCTGCCCTCTGTATATACAGAATCATGTCTACTCTGCCCTCTGTATATAAGGATCTATGTCTACTCTGCCCTCTGTGTATACAGAATCATTTCTACCCTGCCCTCTGTATATACAGAATCATGTCTACTCTGCCCTCTGTATATAAGGATCTATGTCTACTCTGCCCTCTGTGTATACAGAATCATGTCTACTCTGCCCTCTGTGTATACAGAATCATTTCTACCCTGCCCTCTGTATATACAGAATCATGTCTACTCTGCCCTCTGTATATAAGGATCTATGTCTACTCTGCCCTCTGTGTATACAGAATCATTTCTACCCTGCCCTCTGTATATACAGAATCATGTCTACTCTGCCCTCTGTATATAAGGATCTATGTCTACTCTGCCCTCTGTATATACAGAATCATGTCTACTCTGCCCTCTGTATATACAGAATCATGTCTACTCTGCCCTCTGTATATATAGAATCATGTCTACCCTGCCCTCTGTATATACAGAATCATGTCTACCCTGCCCTCTGTATATAAGGATCTATGTCTACTCTGCCCTATGTATATACAGAATCATGTCTACTCTGCCCTCTGTATATACAGAATCATGTCTACTCTGCCCTCTGTATATACAGAAATATGTCTACTCTGCCCTCTGTATATACAGAATCATGTCTACTCTGCCCTCTGTATATACAGAATCATGTCTACTCTGCCCTCTGTATATACAGAATCATGTCTACTCTGCCCTCTGTATATACAGAATCATGTCTACTCTGCCCTCTGTATATACAGAATCATGTCTACCCTGCCCTCTGTATATAAGGATCTATGTCTACTCTGCCCTCTGTGTATACAGAATCATGTCTACTCTGCCCTCTGTGTATACAGAATCATGTCTTCTCTGCCCTCTGTGTATACAGAATCATGTCTACTCTGCCCTCTGTGCATACAGTATGTCTACTCTATAGTACTATAAAGGATCTTGTCCTTAAATTTCACAATACATTCCCTTTTTAATATCAATAATGTGGTTATCAAAAGATCTGTTAACTCAATAGACACTTCACCAATCTGTCAGCTCAATACATAGACATTTCACCAATCTGTCCGCTCAATACATAGACACTTCACTAACCTGTCGGCTCAATACATAGACACTTCACCAATCTGTCGGCTCAATACATAGACACTTCACCAAACAGTCCGCTCAATACATAGACACTACACTAACCTGCCGGCTCAATACATAGACACTTCACCAAGCTGTCGGCTCAATACATAGATACTTCACTAACCTGTCAGATCAATATATAGACACTTCTCCAATCTGTCCGCTCAATACATAGACACTTCACCAATCTGTCCGCTCAATACATAGACACTTCACTAACCTGTCGGCTCAATACATAGACACTTCACAAAGCTGTCAGCTCAATACATAGACACTTCACCAATCTGTCGACTCAATATATAGACACTTCACCAATCTGTTGGCTCAATACATAGACACTTCACTAACCTGTCAGCTCAATATACAGACACTTCACCAATCTGTCCGCTCAATACATAGACACTTCACCAATCAGTCCGCTCAATACATAGACACTTCACTAACCTGTCGGCTCAATACATAGACACTTCACCAAGCTGTCGGCTCAATACATAGATACTTCACTAACCTGTCAGCTCAATATATAGACACTTCACCAATCTGTCCGCTCAATACATAGACACTTCACCAATCTGTCCGCTCAATACATAGACACTTCACTAACCTGTCGGCTCAATACATAGACACTTCACAAAGCTGTCAGCTCAATACATAGACACTTCACCAACCTGTAGGCTCAATACATAGACACTTCACTAACCTGTCGGCTCAATACATAGACACTTCACCAAGCTGTCGGCTCAATATATAGACACTTCACCAATCTGTCGACTAAATACATAGACACTTCACCAATCTGTCTGCTCAATACATAGACACTTCACTAACCTGTCAGCTCAATATATAGACACTTCACCAATCTGTTGGCTCAATACATAGATACTTCACTAACCTGTCAGCTCAATACATAGACACTTCACCAATCTGTCCGCTCAATACATAGACACTTCACCAATCTGTCCGCTTAATACATAGACACTTCACTAACCTGTTGGCTCAATATATAGACACTTCACCAATCTGTTGGCTCAATACATAGACACTTCACCAATCTGTCCGCTCAATACATAGACACTTCACTAACCTGTCAGCTCAATATATAGACACTTCACCAATCTGTCCGCTCAATACATAGACACTTCACCAACCTGTCGGCTCAGTACATAGACACTTCAACAATCTGTTGGCTCAATACATAGACACTTCACCAACCTGTCGGCTCAGTACATAGACACTTCAACAATCTGTTGGCTCAATATATAGACACTTCACCAATCTGTCGGCTCCATACATAGACACTTCACTAACCTGTCAGCTCAATATATAGACACTTCACCAATCTGTCCGCTCAATACATAGACACTTCACCAACCTGTCGGCTCAGTACATAGACACTTCAACAATCTGTTGGCTCAATATATAGACACTTCACCAATCTGAAGGCTCAATACATAGACACTTCACCAACATTTTGGCTCAAGAGACACTTCATCAACAGCAACATGGTTGTTCTACAAATAGATCGTTATAAGATCAATCTGTTGGCTCCATAGATGGACATTACACCAATCTGAGGGCTCCAAAGAGAGCTATGACACCAATCTGTGGGCTCATTTGTCAAACACTACACCAACCTGTCGGTGCCACAGACTGACAGCAACCTTTAGGTTCCACAGACAGACACAACACCAGTATGTAGGTTCCACAGACAGACACAACACCAGTCTGTGGGCTCCACAGACGGACACCATACCAATCTTTTGTCTACAGAGACAGACACCATACCAATCTTTTGTCTACAGAGACAGACACCATACCAATCTTTTGTCTACAGAGACAGACACCATACCAATCTTTTGTCTACAGAGATGGACACCATACCAATCTTTTGTCTACAGAGAGACACCATACCAATCTTTTGTCTACAGAGACAGACACCATACCAATCTTTTGTCTACAGAGACAGACACCATACCAATCTTTTGTCTACAGAGACAGACACCATACCAATCTTTTGTCTACAGAGAGAGACACCATACCAATCTTTTGTCTACAGAGAGACACCATACCAATCTTTTGTCTACAGAGACAGACACCATACCAATCTTTTGTCTACAGAGAGACACCATACCAATCTTTTGTCTACAGAGACGGACACCATACCAATCTTTTGTCTACAGAGAGACACCATACCAATCTTTTGTCTACAGAGACGGACACCATACCAATCTTTTGTCTACAGAGAGACACCATACCAATCTTTTGTCTACAGAGACGGACACCATACCAATCTTTTGTCTACAGGGAGACACCATACCAATCTTTTGTCTACAGAGACGGACACCATACCAATCTTTTGTCTACAGAGAGACACCATACCAATCTTTTGTCTACAGAGACAGACACCATACCAATCTGTTGTCTACAGAGACGGACACCATACCAATCTTTTGTCTACAGAGACAGACACCATACCAATCTTTTGTCTACAGAGACGGACACCATACCAATCTTTTGTCTACAGAGAGACACCATACCAATCTTTTGTCTACAGAGACAGACACCATACCAATCTTTTGTCTACAGAGAGAGACACCATACCAATCTTTTGTCTACAGAGACAGACACCATACCAATCTTTTGTCTACAGAGAGACACCATACCAATCTTTTGTCTACAGAGACGGACACCATACCAATCTTTTGTCTACAGAGAGAGACACCATACCAATCTTTTGTCTACAGAGACAGACACCATACCAATCTTTTGTCTACAGGGAGACACCATACCAATCTTTTGTCTACAGAGAGACACCATACCAATCTTTTGTCTACAGAGAGAGACACCATACCAATCTTTTGTCTACAGAGACGGACACCATACCAATCTTTTGTCTACAGAGAGAGACACCATACCAATCTTTTGTCTACAGAGAGAGACACCATACCAATCTTTTGTCTACAGAGAGAGACACCATACCAATCTTTTGTCTACAGGGAGACACCATACCAATCTTTTGTCTACAGAGAGAGACACCATACCAATCTTTTGTCTACAGAGAGAGACACCATACCAATCTTTTGTCTACAGAGAGAGACACCATACCAATCTTTTGTCTACAGAGACAGACACCATACCAATCTTTTGTCTACAGAGACAGACACCATACCAATCTTTTGTCTACAGAGACAGACATCATACCAATCTTTTGTCTACAGAGACAGACACCATACCAATCTTTTGTCTACAGAGACAGACACCATACCAATCTTTTGTCTACAGAGACAGACACCATACCAATCTTTTGTCTACAGAGACGGACACCATACCAATCTTTTGTCTACAGAGAGAGACACCATACCAATCTTTTGTCTACAGAGACAGACACAATACCAATCTTTTGTCTACAGAGACAGACACCATACCAATCTTTTGTCTACAGAGACAGACACCATACCAATCTTTTGTCTACAGAGACAGACACCATACCAATCTTTTGTCTACAGAGACGGACACCATACCAATCTTTTGTCTACAGAGACAGATATACTTCGCCTACCTGTAAGCTCCACAGTCTCCACAGTTGGCGTCATTTGTGGTTCTGGAGTTTCCTCAATCTTATCCTTCACCACATCATGGTTTTGTTGAGACTTGACAGAGCCATCGTCTGGCTTCAAAACTCCTTTCTTTATCAACTCCTCCCGTGTTGAGCGAAGGGAAATTTTACGTTCTAACTCTACAACATGACACAATTATTAAGGTTTAATATTCCGACTGAGAAATCAACTATTTGTCCTTCAATATTAGCTGAAGCAGAGGAATGGGTTTATAAAATATATGGCCCAAGAGGTCAGCCAAATCATTTATTCAAAAGTCTACTTCACTCAAGGATGCTTCAGATCAAATAGGGAAAGAATCCTGCAATTCCTGATGTAGAAATGATTTCAAAGAATTTTCTCTATATACCATACTGGATCCTGCTCCGCCCTGAGGGAGTTGAAACCTACCGTTTATACAAAATTGATTCCCTTTTAACTAGAGGGCCAAGACCAACTGTTTAAAAAAAATAACTGAATCATATTCACCAAAGGATGCTTCAGATCAAATTTGGACAAAATCTTATTATTTCTACAAAAGGAAAATGATTTGAAGTTCTAATTTGGGACTTTGCCCCTCAGGCCCAAGGGGAGGTCAGCCCAAGCATTTATACAAAATTAACTCCCCTTTATCCAATGATGCTTCAGACCAAATTAACTAAAAATCCTCAGTGTTTCATAACTAGTTGTACTTTGTATGAAAAGTTGATTGACAACAAATGCTATTGTAAGCCAAAAGCTCACTTGACCCTTCAGGAAAAGGTCTTTTAATTTTGTTTTGGAAAGAATACTGATTAATTGGGGAAAAAATTTAGGAATATCTTTTTGGAATATGGCCATATTAGGAAATACCTCAAATTGGAAATAAGCCAGAGCCAAAGCTATGAATATTTCACTTTCATCTATATAAGAACCTTCGTTCTTTACTTGTTTACGTATTAACTATATGTAACTATACATAGCATACACATGAATACTCACCAACAGCAGTTTTCTCGATTTTTTCACTCTTTTTCTTTCGTTTCCATTTCCAAGGTTTGAACAATTTTCCAATGGAAGCAAATTTACTTTTCCTCTCTGGAGGCGGGGTGCTGGTCCCCAAGGAACCAGACTTCATCTCTCCATTTTTCTTCTTATCTGCAATGACACATCAATTACAGACTGAAATACACTACAATCAATATCTATTGACCATAAACATGTGATTAGGCTGTTACATGGAAAAATAAAACCATCACAGGAACAGGTGATAAAACTTGTGATGAATCATGCAGGTGACATGATAGTATTGATGATCTAAACAGGTGAAAGAACAACAGTGATGAACTGAACAGATGATAAAACACCTTTACTGAACTAAACAGGTGATAGAACACCTTTACTGAACTAAACAGGTGATAGAACACCTTTACTGAACTAAACAGGTGATAGAACACCTTTACTGAACTAAACATATGATAGAACACCTTTACTGAACTAAACAGGTGATAGAACACCTTTACTGAACTAAACAGGTGATAGAACACCTTTAATTAACTAAACAGGTGATAGAACACCTTTACTGAACTAAACAGGTGATAGAACACCTTTACTGAACTAAACAGGTGATAGAACACCTTTACTGAACTAAACAGGTGATAGAACACCTTTACTGAACTAAACAGGTGATAGAACACCTTTAATTAACTAAACAGGTGATAGAACATCTTTACTGAACTAAACAGGTGATAGAACACCTTTAATTAACTAAACAGGTGATAGAACACCTTTAATAAACTAAACAGGTGATAGAACACCTTTACTGAACTAAACAGGTGATAGAACACCTTTACTGAACTAAACAGGTGATAGAACACCTTTACTGAACTAAACAGGTGATAGAACACCTTTAATTAACTAAACAGGTGATAGAACATCTTTACTGAACTAAACAGGTGATAGAACACCTTTAATGAATTAAACAGGTGATAGAACATTTGTGGTAATTAAACAAGTGACAGGCCACCTTTGATAAATTAAACAAGTCATAGAACATCTGCAATTAACTAAACATGTGATGAATTAAGCAGCTGAAAGAATGCCTGTGATGAACTACATATGTGTTTGAACAACTGCAGTAAATCAGAACAGTGATTTTAAGAAATTGTAGATTATTGTTTAATCAATAACAATTAACATTTCCACGATAAATCACTGTGTGTGAATATACAGGGATTTACGGTAGATGATATTGACTGTATAATGTGTGTTATGTTAAAGAGCTGCACTAAAAAGGTGCATAGTGGTGGGTTAGAGTGGAAGGGAAACAACTCCAACTAGTCGGTCTTACATTAATATATGGTGTTTATGCTAATAACTGGCAAGAGATTACACCAACACACTGACTCCTTCAGGTATTACTACATCAAACACTTCATGATATATGTAGGTTAACAACCTTCACTATTGTTCTAATATCATTTATTGTTGTGATAGTGCTCAAGAATGTTACTACACAAACACCATGACACTAAGCAGCTCTTAACACATTTCACATCAGTGATATTGTTATTGGAGAGTGGTATTGTCAGTGCTGAAGATCATAAATTAGTACAAACTTGGTAGAGCTAATTCCAATATGAAGCCATTATACCTCTCCTGTAATGAAAAGTTGTTTAAAGACTTTCTTTTGAGTCCTGTTACATGTATCTTAACACTTATCACTTGAACAAACTTGGAATCTCTTTATCTAAGCATGCTACAGGCCCAATATCAGCACCCTGTGCTTTTTTTAGTTATTGAGAATAAGGCATTTTTAACTTATTTGACAACTGTGACCACAAAAGTAGATCAAGGTCATTCATTTCAACAAACTTGGTATGATCATTGTAAAGCTTCAATATAAGTACCCTAATCTTTTGATTAGTCTTCATTGGGTCTTACGACTACAGATTGATCATTCATCCGCCTCAATGATGATTATGAAGTATATCTGTGAGTCTTACGACTATTCAATTCCTTATTTGTCATTATAATTATCTTGCTAAAATGTGTAGTGAAAACCATTACTCTTTGACAAAGTACATATACTTGCCTACTTTCCTTGCTTCACATACCAATCACTTACAATACAGTGTTGGGGCCTCAGTTTGTGTCAGCTGGTATGTGCACATTGTGACAGCTGGACATGACAGAAAAATTCACTCATATTTCATAATTACCTGGTTTATGAATAATCATCATGTGATGAGGAATATAAAACCAGAAACACTTACATGCTACATACACGTCTCTGATTAAAGTCATAAAAAGATTAGGAGAAGAATTCCTGTTATTGCGATCAAGGAAAATGTATCTCTGCGTAGCTCTGCCAATTTTACAAATATCGACACGAAACTTGTTACAAGACGTTTCACGATTAACCTTGGTATTTGTATCAAACAGACACACAAGTGCCAAGCTGTCTCATCGTTACAGTAAAATCATCATAACTCATATTTTTTCATATATCAAGCTGAAATTTGGTATATTAATATATCATAATCATATGAACAATATGAGCAATTAGTATTTTTAGATATCTAGTTTAAGAGGCTGCCCTCGAGTGTGAGACACAATGTATAGGTGCTGCTAGGATTGAGGAGTATCTAATTCTCCATTACTTAGTCATTTTACAAATATCAACATAAAACTCAGTAAAAAGGATGTATTGTGATTATATCTATGATGTTACTAACTATATTGATTATTTTGAAATGTATTTTCTGAAGTCTTTACGACTCTTACTGTTGCTGATTATCACCTGTTGCTGACTTTTAGATATATTGCTAAGTTTAAATGATCCCACAATTCTGTGCATTCTGTCATATTGTCCCACTCTGAGAATCTTCTGTGAACCAAAGCAATATTCATTCATGATTAACATCAATCTCAATCTGAACATTTTTATGAACACCTAGTCTGACAATTATGGTAAGATTTAAGTGTAAGACTTGATTGTCTCATAGCGACAGTATGCATACATGAAAGATGGCAATTTATTGCACATCACTGCCGCTAGGTGTCACTGGTTAATTGTTCAAATATTTCCACCAATCACAAAGCTAGGATTGGAAGCACAGGCGAGTTCCAAAGGCTGTGACGATAGGCTGAAACTGTGTTATGTTTAGCCTAAAAATGAAATATAAGTGTATTTCCAAGGTGTTTTCTTTTTCTAACAAGAACAAAGTTTGATATCCAAGATACATACTATTTCAATAAGGTAATCACAACCTTTCAAATTTCATTGTCTGATGCTGATGTCATGACATTAAAGAGTCAAATATTCTAAAGACAGACCTGAAATATCTCCAGGAGAAATAAAATCATGTGTTATCATTAGTGTTACATACACCTCTAGTCAGTGGGAATAAAACGAAGTTATTTAAGTGTGTATAATAACAATGTAATTATATATACCCGAACTACACTTGACTATTACAATACATACACAGTGTATATATACATTACTAGGACTTATCCCAGGGTATCACGCTTGATTTAAAAAGATGATGGTTGGCCTAATTTCACCTGTAAATCCTACCAGTACATCACTATATATATATAGAACGTAGAAAGCCTGACAGATCATACCTGATGTCATCCCCTAACACACTTCTAACCATCACAACACACCTGTGATGACCTCAGAAGCAGGTGACCATGACAATGATTACCTGTGGGAAATCTAAAACACATTTCTCTCATTGAATATCATGATTCTTCCTTTGATGGCATTACTTAGGTCACAAAAATATCTAGCACTTCATCAGTTATTCTGTTCCTAAAATACCAATGTCAAAATAAGATACAAATACATAAAAGTTAAGAGGCCCAGTGGGCATGTATTGATCAACTGAATTTGACTAAAATTTCTTCATCCAAAGTAAAGGAAAAAGAATTCTGAAGTTTGCATCCATTTCAATACTGGGCCCCACCTTCTATCCTGTGGAGGTCATGAAAACCATTTATACAAATTTCTCCTTCATATAAGCATGTTTCAGACCAAATTGGGACAGACAGAATCCTCTCATTCCTACAGAACAAGGATTTTAAATCAATTCAAAATTTGGTCAAAATCCGCTCATGTGTTCATGATGTAATGTAATGTGTAGACAAAGTTGACAGATGGGCAACAGATACTGTGATAAACCATCAGCTCATTTGATTCTTTGGCCCAAGTGAGCAAAAAAAAGTAGTTTGGTTCCTTTTTTCATATTTCGAAAAAGAGGCCCAAAATTCCAGCAGTATTTATCTAAAAGCTTTATTGAGTGTTAATAACGTGTGTACAGATCAATTATGTGAACACAAGTACTACATATGTACTTATTTAGCACACAGACAACCTCACCTATCCTGCAGTTTTCACTTCTTATTCCTTTGGTATCTTTCGATAACTTCATAGTTCATTAACCCAGAAAGCTAGCACTAACAGGTCATCACCTTCTCTTATATATATATCATACAGTGTTGTGTAGCTAAAGAAAATTAGTTCATACTCATGGCCCGATAAACAGCAATAACTGGTACAATATACAGTAATAACTGGCACAATATACAGCAATAACTGGTACAATATACAGCAATAACTGACACAATATACAGCAATAACTGGCACAATATACAGCAATAACTGACACAATATACAGCAATAACTGACACAATATACAGTAATAACTGGTACAATATACAGCAATAACTGGTACAATATACAGCAATAACTGGTACAATATACAGCAATAACTGACACAATATACAGCAATAACTGACACAATATACAGCAATAACTGACACAATATACAGCAATAACTGACACAATATACAGCAATAACTGACACAATATACAGCAATAACTGGTACAATATACAGCAATAACTGACACAATATACAGCAATAACTGGTACAATATACAGCAATAACTGGTACAATATACAGTAATAACTGGTACAATATACAGCAATAACTGGTACAATATACAGCAATAACTGGTACAATATACAGTAATAACTGGTACAATATACAGCAATAACTGGTACAATATACAGTAATAACTGGTACAATATACAGCAATAACTGGTACAATATACAGCAATAACTGGTACAATATACAGCAATAACTG